TCACCCCAATCCTCTGGGATCACCCCAGTCCTCTGGGATCCCCTCAGGAAAAGCTGCTGCTGAGTTCTGGCGGAGTTTGGGGATGTTTATGTTTAAGTTCATTGCTTTCTGTGCTCTCAGTAAGTTGTGAGAACTCCGTTGCTCTCAGCACCCCCCTGATCCTGCTGCTCGCTTTTTTGCTCCTTTTTGGAGGTAATTTACGCGTGAGGGGATTTAGGAGCGCACACACCTCGAGGGTGAGAGAGTTTAAGGTGGTTCCGGGGAGGGGTTGCACAATCCCTCGGTAAAACGTTACAGAAATTCAAACCAGAATCGGCCCCGCTGCAGTTCCGGCTCTGTGAACGTGGGGATGAAGGGCACAAAAAGCCTCTGCTGCTTCTCACTTCCTCGTGTAGGTGCTCGATGGAAATTCCACAGTTGGCAAAGCCGGTTTTGGTGCCAAATGCACTGAATAGAAAGTTCTTCTCTCCCTCAGGGCGTTTTTGCGCTCGGTTTTATGGCGGGGTGATAAGAATCAGGTTGAACCTGGTGTGCTGTGATTCCTGCTGCAGACTCGAGCTTGAATTTGTGTTTGCCGAGACCAGGAACAGCTTTCCAAGTGTCGCTTTAGGGGAAAAAGATCCATATTCATTTTGTTTTCCATTGGAGAGCAGTCAGACTGTGCTTTGGGCAATAAAATAGTGACAGACACATTTCATTGACTTTGCAGCTTGAGCCAGGCAGGGGCAGAGACACCCCAGGGACAGGGAAGGGTTTCCCACCCTGGATTCTGTTCCCAGCACTCCTGGGAATGTGCAATCAGCAGTTTGTCTGCATGAGCAGCCAGTTCATTCCTGGAAGTATAAATAAAGATATCTGTGCTGTGATTTTGGTTTTCCTGACCCTGTGAGGTTTGGGATGCCTCCAGGGAATTTGTTTGTGTCTGCAGGTGCAGTTCTGTTTGGAGTGTCCAGCTCCACATTTCCACAGGGATAACACCAACACTCCTGTGGCCTTGGGGAAATGCAGTTTAAAAAAAACAACTAAAATCTGAGTGCAGCTTTTAACACAGCTGCACTTTGTGTTACTTCATCAACCAAACAGAAATGAAGGTGGAAAAAGGATTGTCCTATTTCAAGTCTAATTTTGAAGTTTTAATTGTTTCATTAATTAAAAAACTTTTAAGAAGTTCAGTGAAAGACTGGAAAATTCCCATCCCTGTGCCTGGAAAAGCTTTGGCTGCTGAGTGATGGAAGCAGAACAGAAATATTATCAAAAGAAACCTTCAGAGGTTTCTACATTCTTTATTTCCTTTTTCCCTGCAGGCTGTTGTGTTGAAATGGTCCTGAAGGGATTTCCTGGGATTTCTGACCCAGAATTTGCAGGGCTGCACAGGTGCTGGGTTGGGAAAAGCTCAGGCCAGAGAGATTGTAGAAACTGCAGCTTTTTTACCTGATGTGCTCTGAATTCCTCCTCAAGAGGTGTTGGTCCATCTTCTCCAACTGAGTGAGCAAGGAGATTAATTGGATTAGTGAAAGGAATTATGTAAGACTGAAGCTGAAGCTTTTTCTTCACTTGGTTTGGTTTTTTTCCTTTGAAGTCGAGTTGGGCTTTTGGGGTCCTTTCCCACCCAGACTGCTCTGGTTTTGTTCCCTCTGTGGTTTTTCCCACCCAAACTGCTCAGGGGTCAGTGCTGCAGCCCTGGTTTTGTTCTGTGTCCTTTCCCACCCAAACTGCTCTGGTTTTGTTCCCTCTGTGGTTTTTCCCNTCAGGGGGGTGGGTGGGGGTCCCTCAGTGCCCACGTACAAATCAGTCTCTGATGAAGATGAGGCTCTGGGATGAAGCTCAGATCTGGCTCTGCCTGATCCCATTTATTCCGGAGTGTGGCTGCTGAATGGTGGGGATGGCTTTGTCCCCGAGCTCCTGGGGACATCTGGGGGGGCTGCTGGTGGCAGGACAGCCCTGTCCCCGCACTGAGGGGCTGCAGGAGCCCCCGGGTGTGTGCAAAGGTGGCACCTGACACACCCTGGGCAGGGAAGGAGGGGGCTGAGCACCCACCTTCCCCTGCACCCCTGTGGAAGTTCAGCCCCAAGCTCCCCTCCCTGCTGGGGGAGGGGGATCAGGACACCCCAAACCCAACCTGGGCACGGTCACTGGGAGGGGGTGAGGGCAGTGGCACCCCCAGAATGGACACAGCAGAGTCCTGGCCTTGCAAACACATCTTGGGAGCAGGGCTGGGACTGCTGCAAGGAAACACCTTCCTGCACTGCTGCTGCTGCTGCTGCAGGGCTGGAGGTGACAACACAGGGCTGGAGGTGACAACACAGGGCTGGAGGTGACAACACAGGGCTGGAGGTGACAACACAGGGCTGGAGGTGACAACAGCAATGGCCGGGACCCCTCAGGCCCCTGGGGGCGCTTCCAGAGCAGCAGGAGCGGGGACAGCCCTGTCCCTGCCCCGTCCCTGCCCGGTTCCCGCTGTCCCCTCAGTCGCTGGCGCTGTCCTCGCTGTCCGAGTAGGCTCCCAACAAACCCAGCGAGGACGTGGCTGCTGCTGCTGCTGCTGGAAGGGAGCCTGGAAGGGGAGGGAGGGAGAGGATCCGGTCAGGTTCAGCCCCTCCAGGGCAGTTCCCGGTGAGGGAACAGCAGCCTGGGGAGATCCCGGGTGGAGCCGCATCCCTGGATGGACGCCGAGCTCAGGGAGGATCAATCAGGGGATGAACAGCTCCTGCAGCCCTGGGCTGAGCCTCCCTCCTCTGCTCTGAGGGAAGCACCGAGGTCTGGGACCCCCCTCTCCATCCACAGCCCCCTGGGAGGCTCCAGCTCTGGGCTCCCACCACCCCAACCCTGGGACAGCAGCCTGGAGCAGGAGGCTGGGGGAGCACAGGGACATGGGGACACTCCAAGGGCTGTCCCTTCCCAGAGCAGGAGGCTGGGGGAGCACAGGGACATGGGGACACTTCCAAGAGCTGGCCCTCCCCAGGGATGCCCCAAGGGCAGAGAAACTCCCTAAGCCAAAGGCTCAGGATCAACCAGCCCAGAACAAATCCATCCCCAACCCAATGGCTCCCATGGCTTGCTGGAAAAATTTTCCAGTTTGTTTTGTGGTCCTTAAAGCTTCCCAGCTCCAGCAGCAAGGCTGGATTTATCACCAAACCCCAAACCAAAGCAGTTCTCCTGCTGTTCCACCCCTATCTCGCTGTTGTGACGTCCCCAGGGCTGTATCTGCTGTTTTGGAGCTCCTGGCCTTGCCAATCTGTCCCCAAGGCTGTGGCTGAGAGCCAAGAGCCAGGAGGGAGCCTCAGCTTCACCAGGAAACTCCTGGAAATGGGGACATCTCCCTGTTCTCACAGGAAACCCCTGGAAATGGGGACAACCCCCTGTTCTCACAGGAGACCCCTGGAAACGGGGACAACCCCCTGTTCTCACAGGAAAACCCTGGAAATGGGGAGAACCCCCTGTTCTCACAGGAAACCCCTGGAAATGGGGACAACCCCCTGTTCTCACAGCAGCCCACCAGAGAGCCCAGCCCAGGCTCTGAGCACGGAGCCAAATCCCACCCAGGAGGTGTCAGAGCCCCCCAGGGCCCAGCCAGGGCAGGTACCAGTGCTGGCTGTGGTCCCTCTGGTTTCCATCCCGTTTTCCAGGGCAGGATCTGCCTTCTCCTTCTCCTTCTCCTTCTCCTTCTCCTTCTCCTTCTCCTTCTCCTTCTCCTTCTCCTTCTCCTTCTCCTTCTCCTTCTCCTTCTCCTTCTCCTTCTCCTTCTCCTTCTCCTTCTCCTTCTCCTTCTCCTTCTCCTTCTCCTTCTCCTTCTCCTTCTCCTTCTCCTTCTCCTTCTCCTTCTCCTTCTCCTTCCTGCGGGCCACCAGCCCTGCCAGCTGGGCCTTGGTGCTGAGCTTGCCCACGCTGCGCTCCCAGCTCTCCATCCTGGGCTTCTTGCTCTGGGGCTGGGGGTCCTGTGGGCACAGCCAGGGTCAGGGGGGCTCCAACTTGGAGGGGATTTTGGGGATAAAAGCAGCAGAGACACGAGGAGAGGGGGCTGAGGGGGGATTGTGCCCTGCAGGGATGGCACAGGACAAAAGGGGATGTGGATCTGCAGAGCTGCCCTTGGAGATCCATGTCCCACTGTCAGAGAGCTAAAGCCAGCCTTGGGATGGCCCTGGGATGCTGAGGAGGCAGAGAAAAGAATCTTAAAGGACCTTAAAGTCCATCCAATCCCACCTTTCACTATCCCAGGTGGCTCTGAGCCCTGTCCCACCCGACCTTGGACACTTCCAGCCACAGCTTCTCTGGCAATCTGCTCCAAAGTCTCCTTAAACCCAATCCAACCCTCCCCTGCCTCAGTTCCAGGGAGGCATTCCCTCGTGTCCAATCCCTCCCTGCAGGGTACAAGTTGTTTTCTCTCTGCTTTATCAGCTCCTTTCAAGGCCACTGAGCAGCCCTGGGTGCCTGCAGGTGCCCAGCCATGGACCCAGCGAGTCTGGGTGCCCTGGGCACAGGGATTAGTGCCAGGCCAGGGAGCACGGCTGGGATTAACCCCAGGCACGGCAGCTTTGATCCAGCCCAGCAGCCCTGGGGCAGGGAGGACAGCAGGGGGAGGGCAGGGCTGTTTGCTGGGATAATCCCTCCCTCCAGCTCTTTTGTTCTGCCTGAATCCAAAGCCCAGCCCAGAGCACTGAAACGCTGCCTGGAGCAGCAGCAGGGCCCTGTTCTTCCCGAGGAAAGGAGGGTGGGGACAGCGTGGGGACAGCTCCATGCCTGCCTTTGTCACCAGCCCAGCCTGGAATCCCCAAAGATCCCCGGCTCCTCTCAGCCCAGTGCACAGGCACTCGGCCTTTGGGAGCTGCTCAGGCGTGACACCAGCCCGGTGTCACCCACACAGGGACACAATGGGCACACACAGAGCCCCAGGGCAGAGCAGAGGGGCTGGGGAAGGGCAGGGCAGGCTGTGCCCCCCTCACCTCCTGCAGGATGTCCGTGGGTTTGCTCTGGGCCGTGGGGTTGGGCCGGGCTTTGGTCGGTTCCTCGTCAGAGTCGGAATCCTCCAGGAGCCGCCGGTTCTGGGCCTGTTCCAGCATGGCCCTGCTGGGACACACCAGGGCTGGGGCTGCATCCATCCCTCTGCCAGGCCCTGCTGGCTCCAGCAGAGCTGGGGACAGCACAGGAGCCTCGGGATCCCCCTTCCCAGGGGGTTTTGTGCCAGCCTGAGGGGTGGCAGCGCTGGGATCTGGAGCTGCAGCCCAGAGCAGGGACTGTGCCCTTCCCAGAGGATTGGACCCCCCCAGCAGCCCAGACCCCACAGGATCCTGGGGGAAGGACCCCCCACTCCTTCTCCCTGACCACCCTGCCAGGACAGGCTGGGATCTCCTCCCACCCCCCAATCCTGGTCACTCATTCCCCCTCTCCCAGCCCTCCCAGCCCTCTCACTTCATCTCCTGCTCGTCCTCCTCCTGCTCCCTGCGCCTCTGCTCCTCCTCCAGCTCCTTGTACTGCTTCAGCATGGCCTCAAAGTCCACGTTGGCCTGGCGTTGGTTGAGCTCCTTCAGCTCCTGCAGGTTCTCCAGGACCTCCATCTCCAGCTTGGAGTCCTTGGTCCGGTTCTCCAGGACCTGGGTGGGACAAGTTGGGATATTTGAGGCAGCAGAGCCTGACAGGAGCCTCCAGCACCTCCCCACAAGAGGATCCTCCTCATCCTCATTTTGGGTAGGACAGGAAAGCCTGAATGGCTGCAAAGTCTCTGCTGGGGCTGGGGAGGCTCAGGCAGAGTGGCAGAGGTTTCCTGCACTCCTTGTACCTTCATGGGATTGTTGAGCTCCTCCTCCTCCCTCTCCTTCTGCATCCTCTTCTCCTCCTCCTCCAGGAGTTTCTCTGCCTGGAAGTTCCTGGTGGCTCCGTGCTCCATGGTGTAATCTGTGTTCTCAGGGTCTGTCTGAGGGGGAACAGCAGCAGCACAAGCACTGAGGGTGGGGGTCCTGCTCCAGGCACCCCAGAGCCACACAACCCCAGCCCCATCAACTGGGCAAGGGCTGATCCAGCCCAAACCCCACCCTGAGGCTCAGTGTTGTGGTTTTGTGGTTTCCCAAACCCACCACACTCTTTAATACATTCACCAGAAAATCTCAAATCAGGGAACCAAAATAAACCACTCCATCAGCCTTTGCTGGGCAGGAGTCAGGGAATCAGGGAACAGCCTGAGCTGGAAGGGACAGCAGCTCCTGCCTCTGAGTGGGACAACCCCACCAACCCCACTGCCCAAGGGCTCCTGGCAGCCCCCATTCCCTGGGGGCATTCACACCCCACCACTATGGGGGGAAAAACCTTTCCCTGATCTCCATCCCACCATCCTGAGGGGAAAAACCTTATACCTTTCCCTGATCTCCATCCCACCAGCCTGAGGGGAAAAACCTTTCCCTGATCTCCATCCCACAGCCCTGAGGGGAAAAACCTTTCCCTGATCTCCATCCCACCATCCTGAGGGCAAAAACCTTTCCCTGATCTCCATCCCATCACCCTGAGGGGAAAAACCTTTCCCTGATCTCCATTCCATCACCCTGAGGTGAAAAACCTTTCCCTGATCTCCATCCCACCATCCTGAGGAGAAAAACCTTAAACCTTTCCCTGATCTCCATCCCATCACCCTAAGGTGAAAAACCTTTCCCTGATCTCCATCCCATCACCCTGAGAGTAAAAACCTTTCCCTGATCTCCATCCCACCATCCTGAGGGGAAAAATCTTTCCCTGATCTCCATCCCTAGCACAGCTCCAGCCTCTCCCTGGTGTTGAATTTGCAGCAACCCCAATGAGGGGAGAGATGACTGAATCTTGACTCCATGTTTTCAGAAGGCTGATTTATTATTTTATCATCTATATTATGTCAAAGAATGCTGACTAAATAATAGAGAAAGGGTATAGACAGAGAGCTTAACAAGAATGACAATGAAAATTTGTGACTCCTTCCAGAGTCCCAAACACAGCTGGCTGTGATTGGTGATTAAATAAAAACAATTCACATGAAACCAATCAAACAACCACCTGCTGGATAT